CATACGTCTACTTTGTGCACTGAAAAACTAGACATAGTTTCTGTGATTATATTAGATATTAATATAGAAAAGAAGGGAAACTCTTTTCCATATCTTCATATTTCATTTTGTGCTAGAAGCTAACAAGGCTTACTAGTGCATTGCTGCTTGCTTTTAAGAACATGGTCATTTTCTAGTAGTGTGCCAGTTGTGAAGTCTGGTAACAAAATGTAAACATGAACGCTAATATTTTATTCACACTAATAAAGTTACAACCACAGTAAACAAGCTATTAAGTGGTTTAATGATAATTTTTTTTAAGGACTGATGAGGACATATTTCTTTTTGCCAATACTGCCCTCTAGTGAAATAATAGGCAACAGTGTACTTTTTTTAGGAGCATGGTTGGAAGGTACTATCAAGTCGCCTGTGACTCATAGCGACCCTATGCACAATGGTGCACAATGGTTTTTAATTTGGCCCTATACTGCATCAAGTACACTGTTTCTGACACACTTGCACCTATTACGCTAGTCACTTTGTTAATCCGTTTCATCCTGGGTCTTCCTTTCCTGTGCTATCCCACCACCTTTCCAAGACTGAGCTTCAAAATCCTTGCCTGCAGAGAACAAATTGCTTTCACCCTCTCCAGAAAAGACGTATTTGTTCTCTTGGCAGTCCATGGTATGTTCACGACACGTCTCCAGAACCACAACTGAAGGCATCATTTCTCCTGTCAATCTCATTCATCGTCCAGCTCTCTGATGCATAGCAGTTAATTGCAAAGACCATGGTCTGGATCAGACTCACCTTAGTGTCTAGACTGACATCTTTGCACTTCAGCACTCTACAGAGGTCTCGCACAGCAGATTTTTCTAATCTAATTTGTGTTTTGATTTCCTGACTTCTCGTTCCAAGACTGTTGATTGTGGAACCAGTCAAGCTGAAAATGTTAACGACCTCAGTCTCTTCTTCATCTATCATAGTGCTGCCAATTGGTCCAGTGGTGAGAATCTTTGTTTTCTTAATGTTGAGCTTCAATCTATATTGAAGTCTACAGTCTTTGACATTCTGCAGTAGATGCTTCAGACCCTTCTCAGTTTCTGTAAGCGAGGTTGCATCATCTGCATTATGCAAGTTGTTGCTATGTCTTTCCTCCAATTCTGATGCCACATTCCTCCCCATAAAAACCAGCCACCTGAATGATTTGTTCCACATATAGATTGAAAAGTTATATGGACAAGACTCGTCCCTGACACACTCCTTTCCTGATTTTGGACCATGCAGACAGTGTTTTCAGTGTTTTCTTGCTCTGTTCTGACAACTGCCCTCTGGTCTAAGTACGATTTGGTGAGCACAATTAGGTGTTCTTCAATTCCCATTCTTCTAAGGCTAGCCATAATTTGTTGTGATCTACAACAATGCCTCACTCTTAATTTTTTGCATAATGGAATAATTGTAGTTAAGCAGATTTATGTATTTTTTTTCTTCAGATATCCTTGGGAGTAAATATAATAAAGTATTGATTATGCTCACTGGCCTTGCATTTCAGTGTTTTCTTACCTGAAATAATGTATGGTGGAAAAACTATGTGTTACTAGATAAAGATCTTAACCAACAGAAAAGATTGTAGCTGTAAAATGTGGACATGAGCCACAAAAAGAAATATTACTGCAACAACTGTATTGATGAATTATTTCTTATTTTGTAAATTATATGCAAAAAAAGAGGGAAGTAATCCCAATCTGTTAAAGTTGTTAGGTGTCATGGTTGAATTGGGTGATACTCCCAGGGGGTTTTAGAAGCTGCAGTTGTGTGGGAGGGGATTGCAGATGGTAGATTAGAATCATGTGCCTTTAAATTGCCAGTATGGCTCCTTGCCCTCTAGATTACACAGTTCCCTAATCTATCTATTAATGTTGTTGCTATGTACAATGGAGTCAGCACCCTCCAGAGGCCTTTTAAAGACAGTTGATCACTCAAGAAGAGATTGTCCATCTGTCTTCTGCAGAGGAGATTTGAACTGCATGCCTTTGGTATTGCAGTGCAGTTTCTTACTATTAGGCCACCAGAGCGCCTTAATCTAGTAATGTTGTTGTCTTATGCCTTTGAGTCAGAACTGACCCATACCTGACCCTGAAGCAGGTTTTCAGAGACAGTAAATCTCACGGGAAGACATGACCATTCTTCTTCCACAGAGCAGCAGGTGATTTCGACCTGTATGCCTTTGGGATTGCAGCACAGCTCCTTACCAGTAGGCTAACAGAGCCCCCTGTCTATTAATGGTCTCTTGTGATTTATTACAGTCTTAGCCTGTTGGCAAGTCACAATGTGAGGTTTTATTATCAAATAATCTATGCATAGATCTAATGAATGTCTTAGCCTGTTGACAAGTCACAATGTGTGGTTTTATTATCAAATAATCTATGCATAGATCTAATGAATGTCTTAGACTGTTGACAAGTCACAATGTGAGGTTTTATTATCAAATAACATATGCATAGATCTAATGAATGTTTCCTCTGAAAAAAACCCCTAAAAACCAGTTACTTGACACTATTAATGACTATATTAATAAAGGTGGGAAAGCACATGTCATATTTTTCTAAAGACTCATATTTTTAAATATGCCTTTTATTATTTTCATTTTAGCCTGAAAACAAAACAAAATGAAGAAGAAAAGCAATCCATGTAAGCATATGAAATGACAGGAGAGAGAGAGAGAGAGGGGCAGTGAGAGAATCACAATGTTGGGCTCTTTTTTATCTCTCAGCCTTTGTAATTTTGGGGTGTAAAAAGATTTCTGCCATTTTAGTTACAAGATTCACTCATTAAATTAATTGGAACTCCTGAAAAGAACAGGGAATGTTTTGCAAGCAAATGTGTTCTCGCTTTACCCTCTGCCTGGATCCTGAAGATCAATACCCTACACTGCCCTCATTAGAGAGAAGTAAGGCTTCCCAGCGTGCTGTTCCGTTCATTCATTGCTCACATTCTGAAGTTTATAATTTATAAAGGAAACACTTTTCTTTCCATGAAGGGGATTATGAATACTACATACCAAAACAAACAAAAATGATTTCTTTTTCACTTTTATTTCTAGTTCAAGACCTCTTTCTTCTTAAAGTCTGCAGGCTTATTCGTATTCACAGCTCAGAAATTATCTCCATTGTGAATATAAAAGCAAGCTCATTGGAGTGTAATAGATAATTATTCCAACCTCTTTAAAAAAGAGTTTGTGATCAGTTAATTAGTGTATTTCTAATTTACCTTGTACCAGGGAATTGTTGTATCAGAGTAAATAACAACACAATTTAGAAGAACTTTTGTGGATGTTTGTTTGTTTGTTTGTTGGTTGGGGGGTGTGGTTTTGTTTTAATTGCAAGTGAGAAAAAAATGATGTTAGTAATGTTTGTTTGTTTGTTTGTTGGGGGGTGTGGTTTTGTTTTAATTGCAAGTGAGAAAAAAAATGATGTGAGTAGAAGGAACTGATAATTAGAAATTTAGCTGAGAGCCAAATCTGTTGACCTAAGTACTCAACACACTGCTCACTGTAATGATTTCTAAAACAGCTCTCCTGACCTAGTAGTGAAATGCTGCGTTGCAATTCCAAAAGCACGCAGTTTGAATCCACCAGCTGCTCCGCCTAAGATTGCCTGTCCCGCCAACCTAAAGACTTTCAGGTTCAAATCCACCAGCTGTTCTGCAACAGAAAGATAGGCAGTCTCCTCCCATGCAATTTACTGCCTCTGAAAACCTGCTTGAGGCTCAGCTATGGATCAGTCTCGACTCAATGGCACACAAAAATAATCAACATGGTAATGAGTACTACTTACTGAAGGGGGAAAAAGCACATTCACAATTCTTCATAAAGAAGAAAATGACTCAAAAATAATATTGCTCTAAGGGCACTTAGTTTATAATTTTGCCACATTTTGTTATTGTTATTGTTGTTGTTAGGTCCTGTTGAGTAGAGCACAACTTAATGCCAACCTATGGACAAAATACCTGAACCCTTCTTTATAACCATTGTAATTTCTCACAAGCTTTGGGTATGTTGTTAGGAGGGACATGTTCTTTGGAAAAGGCATCATGCTGAGAATGTGGAGGGTTAGTGTGAGTAAACCACTCACAAAGACGGACAGATGGACGGACACTGTCTGCAACAGTGACCTTGAGGCTGTTGGAGATTTCAGGGCTACACAGGCCAGCATAAGATTTCAATCTGTTATTATAGGGTTACTATGATTTGGAGTGGAATTGACGGCATCTGTAAAACAACAACCTCCTTTATAGAACCAGACTGCCATATGTTTCTCCAGCATTGCAGCTGTGGAGCTGGTCTATATGTATCCCTGTACTTTCATATTAGCACCCAAGTGCTTAACCACGGTGCCACCAGGGCTCCTATTTCTGTCTATAATTAAAACGAATTTTGTGTGTATTTATTAGAGTGCAATGAAAACATCCTCTTATAATTTTTCTTTCTTAAAAAGCCTCAAAGGATATTTCACGGTATTTGAAATGTTTCAGTCATGACCCTATATAAAATATTTTGTAGTCTTCAACAGAAACAAATAGCTTTTTAAAAGAACACTAGAAAACAGACAATCAAACAAGATTATTTTCTCCAGCTGTCTCATAGAAGGATGTTTGTTGAGAAATTCGTTCCTATTTTTTTCCAATGTTTAAAACTTTAACAACAGGTAGTTACAAGTAATTTAGAGACTTTTTTCTTTTTCTAATAAGCATTCCTTTAGTTTCTGGAAGGTGTATTTTAGTGGTTGACAGGACTGCTTGCTAGACTGGAGTAGTTTTAGTTGATAATGTACATTAATATTTGATAGGAACTCTAGCAATTTCCTGTCGTTGCCAGTGTGAAGTGAGGGTAATGGAATTGAGAAGAATGGGAGTGACAGTGGCAAATGGACTGTATGATATGAAGAGAAGGAATAGTTCTCATAACCATGTCTCTAACGTCGTTTGAACTGAAGAACTAAACTCATAATTATGTTTTACAGGATATGAATGACTATCCTCCAGTGTTTAGTAAGCGGATCTACAAAGGCATGGTGGCCCCAGATGCAGTGAAAGGTACTCCCATCACAACTGTGTATGCTGAAGATGCAGACCCTCCGGTAAGCAGAAGACATTGATTAATACTCTAAACTACAAGGAGGAAACTTTTAACACCCTTATGTGACTCCATTTCCAGGACAACAATGGAGCCTTATATCACTCTCATACATTTTGTTCCTTCTTGCTAATTTTATCTGTAGTGAAAGAAACATTTCTATAGTTATTCATGATTTTAGATAATCATGGACTTGCTTTTTTTTACTATCATGCAGAATTCATTATCATTTTAATACATGTGGAATTATCGATCTACATTTACAGTTAACATCGTTTGGATTCTTTATTTAGAACCAAGTAAGCCTAGTTTTCGCCAAACGTACACAGTTTGATTCCACCAACTTCTCTGCTGGGGAAATATGGACAGTCTCATTCTGTGTGATTTACAGCCTCTGAAAACACACTATAGGGTGAGCTGTGAGTGAGTTCTGCCTTGATGGCCATGAGAGATTATACCCAGGTGTTTTCAATCTTAATAATATACAGCTATTCTATTAACAAACCTAAATCAGTATATATCATATTTGTATCAACATTCATTATTTTTATCTAAAGTTTTGTCTGTTATTCTGTAATATATTTGACTGATTTTTTTTTTATTGCACGGAATTCTGTCTCTTTTAATAGCCTCAAATGTCCTTCTAATACAATAAAATGATATGAATTTTCCTTAATAATATTTTCTTAATGTATTAAAACTGTGTCTAGGAATAAAAATATATCTATAAAATTGCTCTTTATAACCACATTGAGTATTCTATAAATATTAATTCTTTGTGTGTAGCAAGTAATTGAATCAGGTGTACCTTAGTCTTCAAACTGACATCAATGTTTTTAAGTATTTTGGAGAGGATTCTGAATAGTCGACTTGCCCAATACAATATGTCTCCTGATCTCCTGACTGTGATACCAAGGGTATTGATTATTGATTCAAGCAAAATGAAATAATTGAGAATTTCAATCCTTTCTCCTCTATCATGATCCTGTCTATTGACCCATTTGGGAGGAATTTTGTTTTCTTAATGTTGAGATGTAAGCCATACCAAAGACTGTAGTCCTTGTTCCTCTACAGGAAGTGTTTAAATCTTTCTCACTTTCATCAAGCAAGGTTGTATCATCTGCATAACACTGGTTGTTGATGAGTCTTCCTCTGATCCTGGGCCACGTTTATCTTCATAGAGTCCAGCTTCATGAAGTATTTGCTCGGCATAAAGATTGAATAGTTATGAAGAAAAGATATATCCCTGATGCACTGTCTCCCTGATTTAAAACCATGCAGTGTTCCTTTGCTCCATTTAAGCAGTAGCTTCTTGAGCTAGGTATAGATTCCACATGATTCTAGAAGATTATAAATAAAAGTAAGATAATTAAACATTTTGGAGCTGTAAGAAAAAAATCTTGAATTGTAAAAGAAATGATACAGATGTTCTATTTTTTACTGCCAGTATGAATCCTAATTAGCTGTGGTGGCTTTGTGGTAAGAAGTTATGTTATTAACCCAAGGGAACATAGTTCAAATCCACCACCAGATTCATATGAAAAAGATGGAAAATCTCCCCCTAGATGATTTACAGACTCTGAAAGGCTGCTGGAGGGTCAGCTATGTGTCGGTTCCAACTGAAGGTACATAACAACAACAATAAAAATCATATTTCTTCAGTGCTGTTTATTTAATAAAATGTAACTGAAAATAATAACATTCTTCAGCTTCAATACTGACAAATGATAGAAAGTCAGTTGTGGATGTAAAGTCTTTAAAAACAATAATGTTAATATGAAAGTGGTGACCTTTAACTCAGAAATGAGTATGTGAAGTTGCCTTTGAAACTGACATATTATTACAACTTGGAAAATATGATGGGCAAAATTTCTTCATCTTGAACATACCAGTCAAAACGGTGAATGTGAAATTGGTGACTTGTCTGCTAGCTTTCGGAAGTACAAAATACTTTGCAATTAGGATAGGCATTTATTTCTATTCCACACATAAGCTTAGAGCAGCAACCCATGGTGGCTAACAGGCTAACAAGTTCTCTTCTCAATAAACATAATCTTTCGAGAAAGACAAACCTGCAAATGAGATGATTTTGCACTAAACAAAATGAACATAAATGATCTGGCATTTTTAACATACTCACACTTCTGAGACACTTTTATTAGCAGAAAATGTAGGTGTTATGTTCAATAGCCTTGGTTAGCAGAGATGATGCAAGTGACACTGCAGTACATCCATGTGAGTCAGATCTAAAAATCTTAGTATGGATAGTGACTCTCCACATTTGGTCCCTGTAACCTTGGACTTGACTTGACATTCAGATCACCCCGACTGTAGGAGACAAGTTTTCTCAGACTACTGTTTGTGTGAGGAAGTTAAATTACTTACACAGAACATTTATCTGGAGACAAGCCCCTGTTTTCACACCTTAAAACTCTTCTACCAAGGTTTAGCAGTCTCAAATGTCATGCTTCCTTGGAACAAGTTTTCAGTTTTGCATTCCCAGTAGTAGTTTTGACATTTAATATATCCGATACTGGCTTTTCATCTGATGAGAGGTGGATGCCACCACTTAGTTTGGAATATTGAGCATGCTTGTTTCATTTACATGTGAGAAAGAATTGGCAATCTACTTTCCTTAAGGTTAAAGCTAGAAAACCCAGTAGGTCAGTTGTTCGTTCCTCCTTGGCATAATTTAAGAGTCAAAATCAATTCAATAGTACTAACAATAGCTGTATGTTCATGTAGTGAGTGAATATTTGGTCATACTCTTGATTCTTGAAGCAATAACAATGTTTTAATGTGCTGCTAACTCAAAGGCTGTGTGTGTCTAGGGCAGTAGGAATGTACCAACATTTCCACTGGCAGAAAAATAGACATTCTCCTCCCATTACAATTGACTGTTCTGGAAACTGGATAAAGAGTCCTTATGGATAAGAACATACTCAAGAGCAGTGAGAGAAAGATTGTTCAGCATTGAACATTTGAATTGTGCTCCAAACTGACTTCTTTACGTTACTATATAGTCATCATTTTGAGCATGTTTTCATGGGGAGAAAATAAGTTTTTTTGAAAAGGACATCGTAATTGGAAGCAGAGGGTCAGTAAAAGAAAGGAAGACCCTCCACGAGATGGAATGCCTACAAATATTGCATAAAACCAATACTGTAAAAATTGAAGGATAACTCGTAAAACATGTACAGAAATTCAAAGTGGGGTTGGGAGGAGTGGAGTGGTGGGGACAGGTAGGGGTGAAACCACAGGACTGCACAGTTGGGTGGGTGGAGGGAGAAGGGAAAGCAAATGGGAAGGATCTGGGCAGAAAGACAAGAGTAATGAAGGGCAAGGTCCAATGGCGATTAATTTTTTTAAAATATAATGCATAAGACTGATTATATGAAATACAATGTAAATGAATAATAGTGTGAAACACATTGTATATTTGTATAAACATTGTAAGGATAAAATGTGTTTTGCCATATTTTTGCTCAATTAGCTATAAACATTTAATAATTCTAGAAAAAAATAATTTTTGACCCCATATCATTCAGACGTACCATGTCAATTTCTCTGTTTGAGATTGTAAACATTTTCTTATCAGTGCATGTTTATTTAGAGGTATCTCTTACAGACTTATTGAGAAAACTCTGGTGATGTATAATCCATAGGGAGGTACAAAAGTGATGCCTTTATAGTGGTTCAAATTCATCAGTCACTCTTTGAAAGAAAGAGGAGCAGCCTCCTCCCCATATGATTTACAGCTCTGAAGACTCACTGGAGGCTCAGCTATGAGTTGGTTCCTACAACGAAGCAATGTCTTTGATTTTTACTTCTACCCTAGGCTACAAGAATTGTTGAAGGCAGTGATAGAGATTTATTTCAGTTTATAGTACCACCTGTAATGTTAAAAACCTTCCTGTTCACCTGTAATGATAAAAATTTATTTCAGTTAATATTTCCACCTGAAATGTTCAAAACTTATTTGTTTAAAACTTGCCTATTCGTCTGTAATGATCAAAATTTATTTCAGTTTATATTTCTACTTGGTATTATACTTTTGTCATCCACTTCCGAAGTGGCTTGCCTCCGGAAACTCTATGTATGAACAGTGCTCAGGCCTTTCTTTCATAGGGTCGCTATGAGTCATCTACGATTCAACAGCACCTAACAACAACAATATACTTAGTAGTCTAATAGTAAACACTTGCAAAATAATTGAATAAGTTAGTAAATTAATGTCTATTTAGCACAATTCAAGAAAGCACAGGGTATTAAGCACTAAAGTGCTGAACAAAAGGTTGACAGTTCAAATCCCCGAGCCACACTGAGGGAGAAGGATAGGGCAAGTAGGCATCAGAGAGATCTACAGCAAAGAAACTATATGGTGCAGTCCTACTCTGCCCTGTAGATTCCTCTGAATCAGAATTGACTTGATGACAGTAGATTTTTGGGATCACGATGAAAATATATGCGTCAAAGCCTTAAAAATTTATTTATGTGAGACTGGGCAAATGTTTTAATCCTCCTAGGCCTTGATTTGGGAATTTGTGGTTTGGAAGAATGAAATAAAGCAGTGCAGATATAATAGTAAACAACTTCTGCCTTCTCATCAGAACTTACTTTTTAGAAAGAATTATTACTTTTCAGCAATTATACTTTCCATCTCTATGAAATTGGCCTCATCTTTTTCAAGTCATCAGGTTTCTTTGGAGTGAGACAAGAGCCACCTATTCTAGACTAGAAAAAAGCAAGAACAAAACCCTTTGAAGTATCACATGGAGACATTGGGTAAGGTTTAAAAGCCAGGAGACCATGGAGGCTGAATATAAATTAAGAATTATAAAATGCATGTAGTGCAAAACTATAGTACTCTAGAGGGAGAAAAAACCCAACAACCTTCTAGGGAATTTTATTTTCCTACTGAATTAAGGCTGTTAGGACTTTTATTTTCTGCCTTGCTTTTGTGACAGCATTGACATTATGTAGTTCACAGGAGACATGGGTAGT